TTTTGCACTTTTTTTTTTATGGTCTCCTCTGCCACACAAACTTAGAAATCACCTAGTTCTCCATGCACATCAAACTCTAAAATTTCCAAGAAAATTTCATGAACATATGTCTGATCTTTCTGGAAAGGTTAGTATGACAGTATGAAGTTATATTAGCTCAGAACCAATACCAAAGTATCATACTCTTCCTATTGCTAATTTTCATCTTTCACTTGTAGTTCTATTCACTTTATATTTTCAGTCCTGCTTCCCATCTTATGTGGATTGTCCCAAATGATAAGAAAGCAAATACTTGAAGAGTCCAGTCTATAAAATCAAGTTTTTATTCCCATAAAGCTCTCTGGCTAATCTAGTAGACTACTCCCTCTGCTAAGCCTGTATCAGGGTACGCCCCATTTTTCACTCACTGCTGTCTCCTATTACTGACTCCTTCCACATTTTTTTAAAAGCTATGGTACAAGTTTTCACAAAAAATAGAAGTTTTTAGTTCCTTGTGTATCATTCATCTGTAAAAGAGGACAAGTAACATTTGTCTCTGGCACTCTTTGTCTTATTCAGTTTCTCAAGGCCAAACTCATCTTCCATGTGAAGACTTGATTTTGGTGTTCCATAGTTCTGGCAGAAGCAGTGGCTGCTCATCCTCTGAGCATCTGGACAAATCCATTACTGGAAAAATGAAGGCAAAACATCCCACCAAGATAACCTGAGCACTATGTTTGCTTCAACTTTCAATCAGCCCTTATGCTACTCTGACATTTTTCCTATAGCTCCAAATACTGAAAATATCCCTCTGAAAAAGAAATTCTAAAGGCATGAGAGAGGGTACAGAAACAAAAAATAAAAATTCATATCAGCTGGAATGAAAAGAAAGGATGAATAAAGCTGCCAGTGTCAGTGCCTGACAGATTTAAGGAGTCACTTCCCAGAATGATGAGCTGAGAGAGTTTCTTGGAAGAATGGTGTTGTGCACAGTCCTAAAGAAAAATGTTACTTTCCGTGGGTCTGTGCTATTTCATGGCAAGTGTTTTCATCATACTTTCCATTTTTAAATATCTTTGTACAAGTTATGAGAAAGAAATTACTTAATCAAAACAGAACATCTGTATTTGACAGAATTATTAAGAGTTCGTATCTTTCACTTTCTATTATTTGCCTTCATCCTTGATAAAATAAAGACTTAACAAGCTTTCTTTAATGAACTTCAGAAATGTGATCTATTGTTCTTTAGCTGTACATGAGCTACCAAGGCTGAAAGTGGTCCTCTCTCTTGGATTTTTTAAAGATTACTCCTTCAGTGTCACTTTTCTTACTGAGACAGCTTTAAAACAAATTTACCTTGATACGTACAAAAATCATCAATGTACCACAAAGTGTCCAGGCTTCTGGAAGGGCTTCTCTAGGATAGTGGCTGAGCCATGGCATGCTGGGGCAGATTTCTGCAGTGCCAGGGCATGCACAAGTTCTTTGATGACTCCATGGCTGGAACAGCTTCCCTGCAGCACGGGCACAGAGCAATTCACTTAGCAGAGGTGAATCATTCAGCCAGCCATTGTTTCCTTCTGTGGCCTTGCCTTAAAACCTTTGACATGCTCTTTTTTGTTCCTCTTGCAGAGAAAATTTCCTTGTTCTGTTTTGTTTTATTTATCATAGTAATTTTTTGGCTGATTATTGTGCAGTTATAGAATTAGAGTAATAATATCTAATTGTACATCTGAAGAAAAAACATGCAATTGTGGTAGATTCAATTTAAAGAAAGAAAACCCTTCCACCAGGGTTTCTTGTGGTGTACACAGTGCATTTGCCAGGCAGTGTGGCTTTGATTGCATCTAACCTGCAATTAGAGTGAGTAATTAAGACAAAATTAACGTGTGCAATTGCATTATTTCAGGATTTAACAGTAGCAATATTTAGCAGCTACTGTTAGTGGATACCGTGCTCATAAGCTCAAATAATTACCAGCATTTACCAGTTGCACCACGGAAAGGAGGACAGGAATGAGTGGGCTGTACCTGCAATATCTGATTTCCAACAATTGCTTTTCCACACATCACTCAGCCACTGAAAAACCATGGAAGTAGCCAACAGGCAAGAGAGGCTGGGCAGATTTGGCACTGTTGAAAACATGGGACTCAAGTGTCACTTTTAGATCACTTTTGGCTTGTCACAGAGCTCATGCGTGACCTAACTCAACATTTAGTAATTCTGAATTATTCTCCTCTGCCTTCAACATTTCATATCAGTTCTGTAAGCCTTATCATGATATCTGGAGTTTTAAAAATAAAAGTTATTTGAGCATGAATCAGTGCTGTGATCTGTGTGTATGAGGAAGCCTCAGGCACATAACAGGTTTTACATACTCTCACTTGGCATTCTGGGAATGCAACTCTACCAGTTCTTAGGCTTTTCTTAAAGGTCGTTTCTTGTCCTTTAAGGACAGGTCAAATGATATTTGAAAAGCATCTTAATGCATCACTGAAGGATACAAATGAAAGTACATTTCAATTCAGTCTCACAAAAATAAAGATAAATCTGAATCTCTAGGCATGAACATAGAGCAGATAAATTGAGGTGTTCAGAGTGCCAAACTGGTGTTGAAATGAGAGATTCCAGTGATAAGACTCGGGGTCCAATCCGGCAAGGGTTTACAATTAAATCAGTGGGAGTTAGGAGCACTAAAATCATATGTAGCCAGACTCTGATGATTAGTGCTCATTTATCACAGAAAATCATAATAGAAGTCCTGAGACAGGGACTGCTGGCTCTGGGCACAATGATTTATGTGGGTGATTTTGCACATGGACCCATCACAACATGCCCTAAGTTCTCACAAGACGCAGCCACACAACTAGGAGCAAAATCTGCCTCCGTGTCCCTTCTGTCTAAATATTTCTTTCCTTTACTATTGAAAAAATTATTAGAGGTAGACACTAAAAATTACAGGCAACAAATGGATCAGCCTCTACACTGATTTATGCATGTACCTCACTACTTCCAGAACTCTGTTTAGCATCCTGAGTGATGGACCATGCCAGTAACTAGGAGAGGGAGCTCATGGGCCAATCCCAACTGGCTAGAATAGCAAAAAAATAATAAAAATTAAATGTCTTTTTGCACAGGCAATTTAGCTTCTGCATTTCAAAGCAAGAGTAGGATAAATTGTGACATGTTTTCACCCAAAATGTTTATTAAAGATGATGTGGGCACAGCACATAGATGAACCACATCCTGAAGCAGGGTTAAACTAGGTTTCACATTTTAAAGCTGAAGTGCTATTTATCTGGAGTGCTTAGAGGTGCTTCTACATTTCTGTATGCAGTTTTAGATTGACAAATGACAAAGCCTGTATTTATAAGGGTGTCATTTACTTCACTTTTTATTAAAATCACCAGCTACAAAATAGACATTTTGTACATACTACTCCTACATAAGCAACTGTGAGAAAATTGCATTAGTCCTGAAATGAAACCATCATATTGTGCACCCGTGGTCAGAAACAATGGAAAATATATGGAGACTGGATAAGGTGCTCACATCACACTGGTAAGTTAGCCTATAGCTTCAAAGAAATCAGTGCACATGTTGATCAGAGACTTATTTTCTGCAACTATGAAAAGAGTTCCAGTTTTCTCTCATTCAAAAAATACTATAGCCACTACTGCTACAGAAAGGAACTGTGTTACTTCCTCCTGACATGTGCCATAAGTGTTGCAGTGTCTGGAAACAGAGAAACACACTAAGAACATGAAGAGAAACAAGACAGTAACACTTTTTTGACAGTGCTCCTGTCACAAAACACCACGGACCAAATTCTTAGCTGATTAAAGGTCTCATAACTTTCTCCATGAATCAAAAAACCACATACTCACCAGCAATCTGGACCATAAACAAAACATCCTGACACGGTATTCTGTCTTTCCCTTCAGGGTAAAAAGAATAAAGAGAAGGAGAAGGGGTAATGGTCCTGTCTAACTCAAGATAAAAGAGCAAAGTCATCCCCTTCATGCAGCATTCCTTGTGCATTCTGAGCTCCATCCCAAGCGACAGGGAGGCAAAAAAAGCTTTATGGGCCCTGAATTTAGGCTTTCCAAGATCAGGATAACTGGTATAGCCAGAAGCACATACCATCAATAAATGATGGACTGATTTGTGGGTACTGAAGTGCAAAGCCCAGGGGCCACTTTGTAATATTCATTTTATTATCAACATTTGGGTTTTGCTTAAAGTCCAGTGGATCACTATGATAGCACAAGTATATCCACTTCCAGGATAAAGGTTAAAGGCACCTGTCAAGGGCTGCAGGTGACCCTTAACTACTGCTCTGACACTGTGACCTCCTTGGTTATCATGACCTTCTTAAGCCTTGCACACCATCATCCTGGAGACTGGAAAAAGGAATTTCCTGCAATACTGGATCCTAATACAATGTAGGAAATGGAAGCAGGGAAGCCTTGTGTTTAAAAACAGCTTTCAGGAGGACAGAAAACATTACAGCAGAAAGGTTCATACTGGTTAGTGCTACCTCAAATACAGAATTAGGAACAAGCAGCAAAACATTAACATTGAGTAGATGCTGATTACAAGGTGAAAGACATGGCTATTTCCATTAGCTTGCTGCAACAACTTCATCAAAGGAAATACATTTCTAGCTTTATAAAATGGTTAGTTTTTATGAAATAAAAAACAGATGAAAAATAAAGTTTAATTCTTAACACAAAGTGCAGAACTTCATTTTGAAACTTAAGATTGACCAAAAATGTTCAAACTTTTCATATCCTAAAATCACAGGAAGACCTTCTCTTATCACCACTACTGTAATTTCAGAGGAAAATTATTATACATTGATAACATAAGTTCAATTTGTCTCAATTCTGTAGGAAAATACAAACAATGACAGATAAATTATTTTGTTATATTATTAATATAAAGTCACCATGCATAAAAAATATGTATCTTCTGGGTAAATATATCTTTTTTTTTCTCTGTTAAAATTTTAAAGTGCATCTAAAATCTTTTAAATAAATCTTTACGCTTTAAAGATAGACGAAGGTGAACAGCTATTCAGAAATGATAGGTAACTCCTGTTAACAAAGAAGTTGGAAGTTCTAAATGCTATTTGAATATTTCCAGCTCTCCTAAAGTGGTGATATGTTGAATGGGCAAACACTGACTGGACCAAACGACTGTGTTTCATCGGAATCACAAAATCCTGTGGGTTGGAAGTGACCTTAAAAGGTCATCTCTTCAACCTGCTCCCAGCAGGGTCAATATTGGTTACTCGGGGTTTTGTGCAGGAGGTTCCTGCAAACCTCCTGGTGTGATAACTGCACTGAGCCCCATTGTACTGTCTGCCTCTGCTCACAGCAGAAAACCTGGGCAATCCACCTAGTTAGGTGGCCTTGAGGAACTCGTTTCACACAAGTCCACAGTTTCCAGCCTTATCATGTTAATTACCAAACTAAAATATTGACAGAGTAGGTAAGAGAATTAGCTAGCATCTTAAGGCTCACTGACAAATTCACTTGTAACAGCAACTTCAGAGGAATTTTGCCTGCATGCATAAGTGGCCAGTTTGAGCTACACTGTGCACAGGCACCCAGTAAATAGCTGCCTTTCCTGGGACATAGACACCATTTTCAGAAGCACTTCTTTCTTGAAGAAACACTTCCTAGAATGGCAGCAATGGTGCTGGAAGCACCAGCCTGCCCCCCAGCCCCTGTCAGCAAATACTTTCCTGTAAAGGGGTGTTCTACCTGCAAAGCTCTCAACACCAATCTGTAAAACGATACTTTCCAAACTATATGTCAAGCTTTTTACTACCTTTCACAAAACAGCACCAGAATGCTGCTGCCACTCTCCCTCCATAAATATCACACATGAGCAGCACCTGATGCTGTGGAGCTACAGCTACAAGTCCTTAGCAAGAAGCTCGATTTCATCCAGCAGGAAGTCCATGTCCTCTCGGCTAACTTGCGGGCTGATAACCACCTGGCGGAAGAAGTTGACTTTGCCCCAGTGGGGCTGGTACCCAAGCATCATGCTGCCCTTCTTCATCATCCTCTCCTTAATTACTGGAGCAACCTGAAAGTAGAGACAAAAAAAAAAAAATGTTTGAGGTCACACTCAGAAATACAGCATGTTTGGGCAAGGAAGTGGATTTTGTGAACTTAAAAAGTTTTTCTGAACTGAGTTTTGCACTCCTTGCCTGTCTTCCCCACTGCCTGCCCCAAGGAAAGCCAAGGTCAGACCTGCAGGTTTAAAGCACTGAGACCCTTGTGTTCTGTAGTTCCTGAAAGAATTGGAGCAAGATCTAAACCCTGGGCTTGAAGCATTCATCAGTGACATGGGAAAGGTTGGGTTAAGGTCCCTAGTCTTCCTGCTTTAGATCAAAGGTTTGAACTCAGGAAGAACATGAGCTGCAGCTGGTTAAAGGCAGGGTTTGTCTCCTTCTGCTAACTAGGCTAAGCGTGACTTCTTGCCCTTGTTGACCCTTCTCCACCACATCTGCACAGCAGCTGTCCCTAGAGGACATGCTGCACTGAACCCCTGTGAAACTCAAGTTGCCAAAATAGTGTGATGCAATATTAAAGGCCTGATCCTGGCACTTAAGATTTCATCTCGTAGATTTAAGACATGAGTAGCTTTCGGCTACACCAGTCTTGTGTTGCATGGGAAGAAATCTCATAGCTGTCTTACTGCAGAAAAAACTCATTCAGTGTGAGTGAGACTGGCAGAGTCAGGTCCTTACAGCAGAGCATTTGATCTCATCCCATTAGGGAGGTTAACTTTGGCCAATTAAACTTGTGCATAGCTTAAAGCATGTGAGTAGCTCTGCATTGTCATGCTTGAAATAGGTCATAAGCTTAAATGCATTGCTGGACTCTTCCTTGGAAGGCAGAACCTTCCAAAGTATTCAGTATTTTGACAGGAGTATTTTTTAAAAGGACTTGCATTTTAATATATTAGTAATAACACCAAGGTATTTCAAAAGAGTGTGTTCATCTCCTTCTCTTTGCAATGGTTTGACTTTGAAATAAGAAAATGGGTGCGTGACCTAACCTTGGTTTCTGCATTAATTTATTTCAGCTCTAAAACTTTATGCCTGATTTGCAAAAGAAAAATGATGATGCCAAACTCACCTAATAGCTTTATTTTTACATGGCATATTTCACTGGTCATTTTTGCTTAGATAGAAACAGATAAGGCTCTCAACACTAACAGCTTAGCTTTACTGTGTTTCTTTAGTGGCCGTGTCCCTTGAGAATGGGTCACAGCAGCAGAGGAGCAGCTGCCATTTCCTCAGAACAACATCCCAACAGCACAGATGTGAGTTGCAGCTAGCTACTTCTAAATGCATTCATCTAGTTTGCTTGTGGGCGTAGCATGCAAATTAATAACCAATTTAAATCTATTTCTTTATTAAAAAATAAAATAAAACCCTCTCTGCTTCAAACCAAACATTCCAAACTGCACCCACACCAGCTGTGTCCTGACATTACCTCGACACCATGACATCGTGCCCCAGAGGTGTTGTGCTGGGCACCATGTACATACAGAAAAGAAAAAATTCCTCTACCCCAGTCCTTGAGAGAGCCCCCAGGTGACTTCTGCTCATGGAATAAAGACACTACAAGCGCAAGGGGAGAAGTGAATTCTTCTTAATACACTTTCTCAGGCTCTTCTTTAAGATTCAAATCCCTATGGCAGCTTTTAGCCTTTATTGATGTTCCATCACAGCTATTTCATCTTTTGTATCACACTATTGATTCTCTTCATCCCAACACCTGGCGCTCCATAATCCATCATCCCAAAATGTGCAGTAGCACAAACAGAGGCCATGAAAGCAAAAACATTTACAGCTTCAGTAATTTGAGGACTGTAAATATACTGCATTTCAGTAGCTCTTCTCTTGTGGAAAGGAAAGGTAGAAAAACTTTGCTTTTGTAACCTCATTTATTATCTCATTCATCCTCCATGCTAATGAAGCTGTCCTCTTAATTTGGAGTGTATTCATCCCTTTTTGAAGGCAAAAGAAACTCTTCCTACATAAATAAAACCAAAAACTGATTTATAAGTTTTTCACATGATTAGTTTTGGAAAGACTTTCCATCACATATTTTGCATGTTCTTTTTGCTAAAGTGGTGCAGTCAGTGTAACAAAACTGTCAAGGACCCTATCTACAGAAAATGGTAAGGAACAGAACCTATGTTCAAATCCTTAAGCACATGTCTCACAAAAGAACCATTAAATGATACCTGCATGCTGAGGCTTGGACTTGAGTAGCATGGGGTATGACTGCTAACAGAAGGGAAAGGCAGCTACCACTTTGCAGCAGAAAAATTAGACCTGTAAGAAACTAATTGCCTAGTGAGGAGTTCAATGAGTTTAATTCTCACTGAAGTCAATGAGAAATGAGGATGCCCAAATATCAGAGAGAACTGCTCAGCCCCATTCAGGATAGGCTCCTTGGAAAGCAATTTAGTAAGAATGAGATTGCTTTACCAGTCCAATTATTTTCCTATGGAACTTAGTTCAAATTGTAAATCTAATTCTTTATGAGGCCCATCCGTGGAGCAGTCTCAGAATTTTAAGTGTAATGCATCCTCTTAAACCTGAAAGTCTCTTCTCTCCTTTACTCCCTTCACCCCTTTCTTCCCACTGCTAGCCTCCCCTGCCAAGCCACCCTGGAGACTATTGTTCCAAGCACTCACTGCAGCAGCATAAAAGCTATCAAACAGGTTCTTCTTCCACCTAGGAATGTGGGGAGGAGGTGCCCTGTGTACAAGGCCATTCTACACCGAGTTTCCCACATTGTACTATGCAACCAAAGCCCTGGGAGCTTTTCCTAAGGATTGATGGGTACATCACAGTCCGCCTGTGCAGGGCTATACAGCGGCTGTTACAGCTCATACTTCCCTTACTCCTGATAGCAGAGCTTTTTAAAATAGACCAAAGACTGCAGAGTAGTTTAGCTCCTTCTCTACCTACTGGAGTGACAGGGTAATCTCTTTTCCCACTCTCAGCCAGCACTCAGCCACACTACCAAGAATAAAAGTTTTAGCCCTAAACTTTAAGCAGTTTCTATCCAGTCCAGACCACAGCTGATCCTCACACATATTTACATGGAAGATGCCAAAGTTTCTTCCCAGCACATATACACACAGAGCAGTAGGATAAGTAGCTGGAATCAGCTTAGACTCTACAGCTGAAGTATCTCATGCACCAGGGGGATCAGAGGAGCAGCATATCTCCTTCTCCATATCCCAAGTATCCTTGAGAAAAGTGACCCTGTACAGTCACACCACAGGGACAACATCTACCTTTAAACTACTGTGTCCCACTAATTGACTCATCAGTGCCATTTAATCCAAATTTCTCCAACACTTTAACAATCTCCATCAGGCTCAGGTTATAATAGTGTAACACACTTCAGCAACCACTATTACAGACTGACTCAACAAAAGGATTGAACATATTCTCAGCAGGAGAATCCCATTCCCAGTGTCTCCAAGAGTTAGTTCCCAAATTTGGATAGCAAAAATCTATTCAGAAGACTTGATGAAACCCATATTTCAGAAAATTTCTTCTTCCAAATAGCAAAGCCTACAAAACCATTCTCACCTTGGTCAAGCTCTGCAAGCCTTGTTCTTAGGCCAGGAACAGCCTTCTAGCACATGGATTTGTTGTGCAAAGGGAAACCTTCAGAGCAGCTCTGTTAAATAGGTAATGTTCTCACTCCATTAATCATGGCACAGTATTATGCTTTAGAATTCTTTCACTCTTAGCTGCCTTTTGGTGAACATTGTGGATATTTGTAAGAAGAACTGGTTTGTAAATTTTATTCTAATAACAAAACAAAAAAGAAAAACTGCAGTAAAATAAAAAAGTGCTTAATTTGTTCAAAGCACATAATCTCATTGACTTCTAAAATACATACCCCACTATCACTAGTGTGTAGTTCAAGTCATACATTTAGTCCAAAATAGCAGATTTCTTTTGCTGCAAAGGAACAGACCAGAGACATCTGGCTCCCCTGTTCATACAAGGTAAATGCACTGAGACCCCCAGCCCCAACTTCACTGGTGCTGCTGGGTATGGACAGCCAAATAACTTGCCCTGAAGAGAAGCAGAATTTCCCCCAGAAATATGCTATCTTGTTCTTTTTTGCTGAAACAAAGAAATCAGCACCTACTGGTTTTAATTAACCCCTTACTTTTCTGCACTAATATTGTCCCTGACAATTGCAATTAGCAGATATGCTGAAAGTGCAAGAAAGCTCAGGTTCAACAGCTGCAGACTGTTTTGCTGATAATGGAAGGCCATGTCAACCTTGACTATGTCTTTCTCTAGTACCCTCCTTTATTCTGTAAGTGATCTCATTTTAGACCTAATTGAGTATTTTCAAACTGTCCCATCACAAATTATATTCCCTGCCCCTGACACCGTGCCTCTGTTACCTGGATGCCACCTGTACTGCCCTCATTCTCACAGACTCCAGCTGGATTTCTCTAGTCATGCCTGATGTTACATATCACAAGAGTTTTTCCAAACTGTAGGCTAGAGGCTATAAGCTTTAAAAGCAACATTATGTTATTTATTTTTTTTTTTATTTAAACAGTAAGGCAAAAGGAGTGAGTTGCAAAATTGCTAACAATGCTGGGTAAAAAAATTCTGCTAAGCAATGAGTTTATGAAAATACATTGCTTCAGGGGGGAAAAAAAATGTGAATTCGAAAAATAGCCTAAGATATCATCAGCCAAAAAAATAAAGAATCCAGAGAAGACTAAACTTTTTCTCAATTTTGGAAATAAACATATTTTGAGTATTTGTTTCAAAATACCGTTTTCAATTAAAACTGAAATTCAATTGGAAATTGAACCCATTTTTATTAAAGCCCATAGAAAAGGACTGAGAAAACTGCAACTATGCAAATTGCTTTGTTTTAACTTGCCTGAAAACAACTTTCTGGTCAACTAAAACCAAGAATTTCTTCCAGTTGCTCTATTCAATGGCCAAGCAAAAAAAAAAATAAATCATTATTTGTACAGCCATAAGTATGTGGGATCAAAAGTGCTGACAT